GGATGTTCCTCTCAGTCTCAGTGTTTGTTTTTATTGTATTATTATATTAAATGGACAGAAAGAAGGAGTTTTAATTCCTGTTGACGTCACACGATGCGTTCAAAGACATTTGGAAAGTTCAACATTTGACAATTCTTTCTGTTTTTACACATTATGGCTGATAATTGATCATAAATTTATAATAGAAAACATGCCTTCTAAAGGGTTTAGAGGCTAAAACTCTGAATCCAAGAGCTTGAAATCAATCTGCTTCAATAATAAGTTCAATCTCTTCAGTTTTCCCCACCAGCAGAACCCTTTAACTCATAAACTCTTCCAACACAGACTGCAGGACGTCTGAGCTGGACGGCCCGAAGCCTGATGGAGCTCAGCTGATCGACCCCCCACCTCCTCTTGTTTTCACCTCCCAGCTGACAGTTCCTCGAAATGGAACGCCCCCCGCTGCCAGAGCTCCGTTCAACAACACCGCTGTTTAAACAAGCGTTTCCTCAATCACAGCTCCGAGCCGGACGTCTGCAGGTTCACACTCGCAGAGGGCAAAGGCTCTCCGTCTCACGACTCCATAAATCCAGACGGGAGGACACAAACGTGACGTCTGATGTTTATTCTTCATCGTGAAGTTGAGAAAAATAACGATGACAGAGTGGCTGAGTGCCAAAGCTGAAGCAGCCGGTGTCCGGTCCAGGTCATCACCCTGATCTGTTCTCTCACGTTCTGTCGCTCCACAATGACTAAATGTAACAGCCTCAAAAAGAATATCATATGAAGACAATCATTCAGAAATGTGAAGGAGAGCTCATGAGGTTTATAGGGACCTCAGACCACAGAGAGACACGAAACAACCAGCACACAAGACAAACAACAATCTTTAACAGAACAAGGGAGAACTCATGCAGAAAAGACAACAAATGTTTGGCCTGAAGTCTGGATGTGATCAACGACACAGAAACAGGTCAGAGGAGAAACTATGCTGATGGAGGAAGAGGAGGAGGAACGGCGCTCCTTCATCGGGCCAAAGGCATGATGGGAAGAAGAAGGAAAACACGTCTGATGAATGAGAGGAGGTGAAGGTCAGTTTAGACGTTAGATTACACCTCCAGCAGCTGATGCTAGCTCCACGTTAAACTGACACAAAACC